TCCACGAAGACTTCTTACCCTTTGAGGACTGAATGGGATCCAGCTGACCCTAACGCGTGAATAAAGGGATGTCATTTAGCCATTTATAAGCACACAAAAGTTAAGCAAAAAAGGTCATCTTGTCTAGAAGTGAAGGGACAACAAACTTCACTGGAGATTACATTGACCCCACTTGGTCATCCACATCACTAATTTACTTTTTCTGAACTCGTTCAATTGTTTACTGTTAATAGAAATCAATTTACTCTATTATTTTCTGAAGTGTATTATTTTATATAATCAACAGGAAGCTTTATACCGTAAAGAACTTTTTTCTTTGCTACATAAAGTTGGTTTTATATTACTTGGAAGTTAGTACACGTGTTACCAAAACTTTTTTATTATAGCCCGAATGTTAAGAATTAAACATTTATTATTATTTTTTTTTTTACGGGAATTAGCCAACCCGGGCACAGGTCAAACGACCCACAACGGAGACGGGGAAGGCGAAAAAAAAAGAACGGAAAGAAATTGAAAATATAGAAAAAAAGGTTATACTGTATTAATCTACACCACGAAGATGACGGAAAACCAGCTTTTTAAAGTGAGACAGATTGTAAGACCATGGAAACACAGAAGGCAAAGCATTCCACAGTTTGGCTGTGTGAGGAAAGAAGGAGGTACTATAACGGGCTATTCTCGTGTGACCGATATCCACAGAGAAATGGTGGGCACCGCGGGCAAGACGTGTGTTACGAACCCACGGCCTTGCCGGCGGTACACAGGATGCCAAATCCCCTGAACATTGCCCGTTAAAGTACCTGTAAAAGAGAGAGAGTGAAGCAACATTGCGGCGAAGAGAAAGGGGAGAGAGATTGTCGACTAAAGGAGGAGAGTTAATAAGACGAAATGCCTTTGATTCCACCCTATCTAATAGTTGGACAGAAGAAGAGCCACCCCAGATATGAGAGCAGTGCTCCAAGTTAGGACGAATGAATCCCTTATATACTTGGAGCAACTGCTCAGGAGTGAAGTAGCTGCGGCATCTGTACAGCATTCCCAACTTTCGGGAGGCAGCTTTAGTTATACTAAGGATGTGTGATTTCCAGGACATATTGGAGGAAATGGTGAGGCCTAACATATTTATTTCAGAATTTGGGGGGATGATAGCGTCCTGAAATGTAATTGGTGGGAGATCGTCTACTTTACAAAGTGTAATTGGTAAATATTGAGTTTTGTTACTATTGAACTTAACCAAGTTTGTATCTCCCCATTCAGAGATGCTGCACAGATCCGCGTTGATAGAAGTAATGATATCAGTTCTAGAAACAGATCTAGTTTGAGAGTTAGGAGGAAGGGGAAAATGTGAGGAAGAGTGAAGAATAGAATCATCGGCGTAAGAATGGATAGAATTAGTTGTAGTGTGAAGTAAATCATTGATAAAAAGAAGGAAGAGAGTTGGTGAAAGAACAGAACCCTGTGGGACGCCACTATTGGTAGAGAAAGAGCGAGAAATCGATCCCTCGACAACAACTGCCATGGATCGATTCTCAAGGAAGCTAGAGATGAGAGAACAAAGTGGGGGAGAGAAACCAAAAGAGGGAAGTTTAGATAGCAAAGACTTGTGCCATACCCTGTCAAATGCTTTGGAGATGTCGAGGGCCACGACAAAAGTTTACCCATAATCCCTAAGAGAGGATGACCAAAGATGGGTGCAATAGGAGAGCAGATCACCAGTAGATCTCGCCTGGCGAAAGCCATACTGGTGATCCGACAAAAGAGAAAGGCGTTCAAGGTGACGGAGAAAATGGGAGTTCAAGATAGTTTCGAAAATCTTAGAGAGGGATGAAGTTAGGGCAATGGGGCGATAGTTAGAGGGACTAGAATGGTCACCCTTCTTCGGGATGGGCTGAACCAAGGCATGCTTCCAATATTATACATTGTTTTTTACCCTCACATTGTATGTTGCAATATATATCAAAGAGCGTACATACTCAGGGAGTAACCGTAATAATTAGGACGATCATTAATAAGTACTGTACGTACTGTATGTCTTTACTTGATAGCAAATATTGACTGTGTTCAATTCTGCAGGCGCCCCACTTAGTATCCGGCCGTGGAACCTGAACCAGCGACTGTTTGGTCAGGTGGTAAGTCTGTTTAATAATACAAGAACTGTTTTCAGACCAATAACAATAATCTATAAGTATACTATAAGTGTGCCTATAATGCCAGAATAACAACTCTCAAAGATAAACATTGCAAAGAGGTGTGCTGCTCGTGATGCACTTGTTTTCCCTACTGGTGCAACAATCAACTAAGCACTATTTGACTTTGAGATTGCATAAATCTGTCCAATGCCCAGTGTTTGTTGTGTTACAGTCTAAAATATTAGTTCTATCGTTCCTCCCAAGTCACAAAACATTTTGAATCTCAGCATACTGTATTGAGTATAAAGACCAGCCTATCAGTTTTTTCAACACAAACAGGATTCCATTCAGTCTCAGCGTGATGTTATTTCTTAGGTTAAAAGGAAGCAATTGCAAACACATGTCAAGCATTGTACAAAGTGAGCTGCCATGATGTAAGTGGAGAATATCCCATAAAACAAGATATTGTTTGAAGCATGCAAGGAGAAAATGAGTGCAGTTAAATCTGTTCCATTTTCGAAGTAAACTATTTCAAGACGAATTTTGGACATGGATTGTGACACACCCTTTGTGTATCCCAGACCAGCTATTTATCATCTTTCCTGGGAGCAACATGATTCTTACTAGGTGCTTGTTGTCGGATCTGCAAAACTGTGGTTACCTGTATTTTGGGAAGCCTGCAGTACTCAGAATCCTGTTGATGTCATGTAATTCATTGTTTCACCTGTCAACCTACAGACGGAGGCGTGGCTGTGATGTTGATGTTCCCGCTGGTTGAGGCAGATTCAATTCTAAACAGTGTGAACAGGGGCTGTAAAATGAATGGCTTATTCCGGCATGGAAGGTGTGGGAATCGTCGCTATTGCCCAAGGAGCACTTTGGGGTGGCCAATAGGACGTCCCACTATTAGTGGCACTCGCGGCATGCAAATAAATGATATGATTTTGTGGTGAGAATTATATATTCAAAAGTTGGAGGTGCGAAAATTAAGGGTGAAATGTAATTACAATTGGACGTGCGGCACACATAATGCATAACTGCATTCAAAACGTTGTTGATGTTGTACCGTTTGATATCGAAGTTCTTTTTGTGGAAATTTACAAATATTTTCACATGCAAACTGTATGTACACATGACCTGGTGAAGCATGAGTGTTATGAACGTATGTACACATGACCTGGTGTAGCATGAGTGTTATGAACGTATGTACACATGACCTAGTGTAGCATGAGTGTTATAAACGTATGTACACATGACCTGGTGTAGCATGAGTGTTATGAACGTATGTACACAAGATCTGGTGTAGCATGTGTTATGAACGTATGCACACATGACCTGGTGTAGCATGAGTGTTATGAACGTATGTACACAAGACCTGGTGTAGCATGTGTTATGAACGTATGCACACATGACCTAGTGTAGCATGAGTGTTATGAGCGTATGTACACATGGCCTGGTGTAGCATGAGTGTTATGAACGTATGTACACAAGACCTGGTGTAGCATGTGTTATGAACGTATTTACACATGACCTAGTGTAGCATGAGTGTTATGAACGTATTTACACATGACCTAGTGTAGCATGTGTTATGAACGTATGCACACACGACCTAGTGTAGCATGAGTGTTATGAACGTATGTACACATGGCCTGTTGTAGCGCTGAGTGTTATGAACGTATGTACACATGACCTAGTGGAGCATGAGTGTTATGAACGTATGTACACATGGCCTGTTGTAGCGCTGAGTGTTATGAACGTATGTACACATGACCTAGTGTAGCATGTGTTATGAACGTATGCACACATGACCAAGTGTAGCATGAGTGTTATGAACGTATGTACACATGGCCTGTTGTAGCGCTGAGTGTTATGAACGTATGTACACATGACCTAGTGGAGCATGTGTTATGAACGTACGTTCATATTTATGACCGGAGACAAATGTAATTACTGTATATCAAACTAAATCAGTGGACACCAGGCCTCGAGTATGGTTGAGCGTTGCGTGAAGGCCACAACACCGGCTGTAGTCACTGGTCCTTGTTTGGCTCATACAATGCCACTTGGATTATTTCTGCTCGCCATGGTACTCTGCTTTAACACAGTTTGTACAATATAATCCAGTTTATAGATTATTCAAATCAGGATGGTTAGGTACATTGTTGACATTAAAACAAAAGATCACGTTGGTCACCAAGTCATGTTGTGACGTGGATGAATAACGCTGACGTTATTTTCAATGGACTGAGGCCAGAGTGTCTAACAAGAAACTATGTAAGGATTAGGGATAATAACCGGCAGGGCACTAGAGGGAGTAAACATAATATGGTACCTGGTCAAGCGAAAAACTTTCTTCTTCACAGCATAAGAAGAGAGTGTGTTTCGGTATTATATGCCACCTGCCTTGGACGGTCTAAGCGCAATGTAATGATTGTTATATTAAAAAGAATCATTTTTACTCCTGTAGGTATAGTATTACTATTTAGTAATCAGGCCTAAACAAAGGAGCCTACGAAAAAATAGGCAACTGACAGCTTTTTCGTCTATCCTTGGTCGACTTGCCTTTCTGTTTACCATTGCTGTATACCAGTACACGGTGTATCGTTGTATATACACATGCTGAACTGTATGCCTAGATAGTCTACAGTATATACTGTACATGCCAAGCCAATTGTGAACTTGTATGATGATTTTACTGAAATAATAATAATAATAATAATAATAATAATAATAATAATAATAATAATAATATTATTATTATTATTATTATTATTATTATTATTATTATTAGGCCTATTATTATTATTATTATTATTATTATTATTATTATTATTATTATAAATAAATGAAAAGGGAACAAACACATTCAAATTGTAGAAAAGAAAAATCTCTTATTTATTTCGGAAAAACATCTGCATTAAACGGTGACAAAAAACAGGGTGACGAAACACAAGAAGACGCGATGCAGCCCATCAAGCCGGGGTCACGTGTTGTCCTTGCGCTTGGATAGATCGAGGGCATGCGGCAGCTGGGTGTGAAAGGCTGGCAGGATGGGAGGCAGAAGGAAAGGGAGTCCGGAGGTTGCTGACCGCAGAAAGGGCGAGGTGCTCAGCTCAGGCACCCAGGGAAGTGGGCGATCACCGCCATCCAGGGCCCCGGACAACCAATGCGGGGGTAGTAACAGGGGTGACACGGGTGGAGAGACAGGGCATGATAGGGACGAGAAACCTGCCAAGGGGGAAACATACTGAAGAGGGGGAACTGGCATCCTCAAAGGCAGCATCAGCGTGGAGGGGACTACTGATGTCGCCTCGTGAGTCCTGCTGGAATGGACCTGGGGCCGTCTCTCTAGAAGCTCCCTGAAACAATAGAGACCAAAACATGAAACGTTATGGTTGAGTTCAATAGAGTTTGCTAGTGTCGTTTGTCCCTTGAAATGGTGTTTTGTTAGGGGTTCTAAATGTCTAGAGTTTTCGAATGTACTGAATTTAGTTTCCATTTTTTCTTTTCAATGACCATGCACCACTTCTCTCTACCACACACCTCCATCTCCACACCCATCCATTCCACCTAATTTTACACATACACACACACACGCCGCACACACACACACACATACACACACACACACACACACACATTATAATTTCTGATCTATTGCACACTAACTCCTTTTCTTCAGTGACCCCGCTATCTCGTGTTTACTTCAGCGTGACACCAAGTACTGTTGCACGTCATGGTCACACACACACACACACACAGTCAAGGCAGCCTCGTACCGTCTCTACATGCTACGACAACTTAGGTCACTTGGGACACCCACGCCAGAGCTGAGGACCATCTACAACGCCTTTATTCTCCCCAAACTAATGTATGCATCACCAGCCTGGTCGTCTTCTCTCAACTCCACCCAACAACGTCAGCTAGAGAAGGTACAGAAAAGGGCCTGCAGAATCATGCTTGGTGCAGAATACTCCGGCTACACCAACGCTCTCTCCACCCTGGAAATGCCATCCCTCAATGACCTCCACCACCAAGCACTGGAAAGGTTTGGCAGCCAACTAAGGCACCACCCTCGTCATCGCCACCTCCTGCCACAGGCAGCCCCCCACCCACCTCGCGCAGTCCGGCACTACAACAAAATTCAGCCCATAAGAGCCCGCACCGATAGATATAAGAATAGCACCATCCCATCTATTGTTAAAATAATAAACAACTCCTGATTTATGTACTGTACAGCCCTGTAAATATATTTAATGCATATCTATCGTTATGTCTAAATCAAATGCAAGTCTGTAAATTTTCAGCCACCGGCTGCAACTCTATTAATAAACCGTTTATTATTATTATTATTTATTTTTACACACACACACACACAAACACACACACACACACACACACACACACACACTTATTTCCCGGTGATTCAATTTGTTATTCCTAAATATATTTTCCACATTAGCTAAACCACGTTGCTCCAGCGAACCATATTAAGTTGCTTATAAAGATAGGAAAGATTCCCTCCACAGCGTGTACAGAGGAAGTCAACAAGGATTTGCTCTCTTGGCGATCTCTATCTTTCATTTTTTTCATAACATCTAAGTTCCTATACTCCGTTATGGTATGTATACGACTACTAAGACACTACATATAATAATTGTAATTTGTACTCTGTACCTATGAACATATCGTGTCTGGTCTCTCCCGAAAGAAATATCTTTTAATAATCTATGGATTTAATCCCAGGTGAGACGATATAAGAGGTCTCTTGACTACGATGATGAATATGACAAGGTGAAGTTTCTTGATCATTAGTGGGTACCACCACTGGTTGAGTAAGTTTGGGAGAATCTTCGCCTCAGAGAAGAGAAAAAAGATCGTTCATGGAAAATTGAGATTATTTACCCTGATCTCTGGGCAGATATTGTCTTTCACTAGCTGGGTCCCCGCTAGCCGCTAGGTCACCCGCACCTCCCTACCAAATTTTTGTTCACTCTTCAAAACTCTGGAAATGCATTTGACTCTTTCTCACTGTTTACATATTGTTTTGTTGTTGTTTTTCTCGTGAAACTGTCTCGTTCTTGTAAATATGTCTCATTCTTTTATTTGTAACTCCGGGAATGCAGTACTTGCAAACACGTGATCATGAAATTTCTTTTGTAATATACCAGCAACAAGATCTCGCCAGACAAAATTCGATTGTTAGACAGAACTGTTTGTGCTGCACCACCTAACTTCCCTTGATTTAGAGACCAAAATATCACTACGGAATTTCCTGTTAGTTTAAAAAAAGTTCGTTGTTATAAACGAAGGACAAGAGTAGATAGAAGAATTAAGGTGTGTGAGCGGGTACTGTATTGTTGTTTTATATGTAACACTAACCTTGTAGATACAGAAGACTCAGGTATAAGCCTCTGGTGCTACACCGCAGTTGTTGGTAACTTCTCGTAGTACCATATCATGCTGACTATTATTCAAGTAGGTTTTGGTGGTGAGAGGCAGTACTGCTACACAGATTATTCTATGATCATAGTTCACGAAGGGAAGAAACACAAGACGTCTTGGTAATTACAAAGGCCTCCTATGATTAGTAGTGAATATAATTCATGATGTAACAATATTTGTATTGAATGTTGTCGCTCGGCCCACTCTGTCGACCACTACATATAAGTGTAATTATACAATAGGTTACAAGATCAGTTTTTATAGGCATTAAAACCTAAAATAAATAAAACGATGATCTATGAAAATGGCGTAAATGATCAGCGACATCGCCGCTAACCAGCAACGAATTAAAACTTCCGCCCGCGCACCGTCACGTACTCTCTGAGGAGCTCCGTAAGTGTCTACCAAGCAGTAATTGGGAACCTGGATGTTAATCGATTTGCGGATCGTATTCTAGGGTAATGGTTAGCCAGTGCAGTTGGCGGGTTTTCCGGTCTTCTCGGGCTATTCCTTGACACTGGGTCATGCAGCTCGTTAACTCAGGGTGTGGTTGTTGTGTTGGCGACAGCTTCTACACCTTAAACAAATTTACGCCTAGGTGGCCCTTGGGCCGGCTATCTTTGTTACTCGAGGGGCAGCCATTATAAAGTATGTATTACATTCGAGAAGATCTCTTAAAGTGAGCCCTGAAGGCAGTTCTCTCCTCCCCAACCCAGTAGAGTGGACTCTTCCACAATAAGTTGAGAGTACTTCACTATCACCAGAGTACCTCCACCAACACGTAGGCCGTGATGCCCTGCACACTTTAAACACCGTGATAAGTAATCTAGTGAGAGACAAGGGTGGTACAGCCTCACCTTCTCACTATCGTTGATGTGGAGGAGTGTTATCATCCAAGAATGCAATGAAGCCCTACCTCCCCCTGCCTCCCTCTACGTCTCTCCAACCTCCCTACTACCTCCACCCCCTATAACCTGCTCCCTTGCTTCCCACCTACCTCCCCCCTACCATCTCTCTACCTCCCCCTTACCTCCTTCCCACCTCTCCCCTACCTCCCAGATGCTTCACCATTATATTATGATTGTGGTCGAGTGTGAAGCCTCTTACTGATAACTTTCTATTTAATCCACTAACAAACAACCCCCACCATTTCTATTTTGGTATTCATGTTATTATTGCCACCATCCATAAAATATTCGAAAATATAAAAACAAAATACCAATATCTTAGCCCGCAAAATTCTTTAGATTTATTGAATATATCGATTTTTTTTACTCGAGGTGTGACGTCATCCTCGTCAGCTATAACACCGATGCTAACCTAAATTAATGAGTAAATCTGTTTCAACAAGTTACAAATAAAAGAATAAACCTAAAGAAAATTCACGCATTATTAACGCTCCCCCAACACACACACACACACACACACACACACACACACACACACACACACACACACACACACACACTTGAGTAGTTGCCAGACGCCACTTTTTGCAACAATTATATTTTATGAAAAAGGTGAAGAAATATTTAATATGATTTATTATCACTGTATAAATTGTTGTTAAAAGTTTATCATATCTTATCCAAATTATCTACAAGGAGTTGAGAACGAAGTTATAAAGGGTACTTAAAAATGCATCAGTGACATCTTCCTTTCCCGTCCTCTCCCAAGTGACGTCATTAGATCTGGCTAGATTTCACACTTCCAAATCAATTAAAAAACTTTGTATTTCATAATATTTTTGAAGTGAAAATATCATCGTTATCATTTTAGTATGAAGATGATGAAGTGCGAATATGATAAATAAACCACATTTTCTGTGCTAAAACCTAATATGCCGTCCACAGTTCCCTTGGGCAATGCCGGGCGCTTGAGACGCGTCAGTCTAATTTTGAAACACGAGCGATGCCTTAACCAGTATAGCTCGTCTGAAGGTTACCTCAAGGCAATTTGTTTATGAGTAAATAATAAGATCATGGAAAAATAACTAACTTCATACGTTTGGTTAGACTCGACTACGTGACGTACACCCGAACATTACACTCCTAGTTAAAAGTATTGGACTTCTGAAAATTATCAAATTCGTCCACATAGTTTAGGGACTCAATGACCCTGTCAAGTTGCAAGAAAATTTGCGTAACTCTTCAAGACTTACAGTACAGTACAGTGTTCACACGAGGTAATGACCATAGACCAGGTGACGTAAGTGACTCCATATCCCGTGGATTTGTTAAGTTAATGATGACTGATGTAAATAGCTGGTGGCATTGTTTTCTCTTCTTAAAATAAACATATAAAGTAGATCGACTCTTTAATTTACCTAATGACCATCTCACCGATCGGATGCAAACCTTGCCCGTGAATCGTTACCATAAAGAACTAGTGATATGCGTCAAAAGTTTACCATGTGAACCTTGCCACATGTTGATAAAACTTACCGAGTTTGTTCCAAGCTCGCAAACCAGTTCTCGAGTTATTTGGGGAAACTCACACTCAGACAAATAGAGTGGACCGACAAAAAATTACCCTCCCTGCGGTAGTGGCCAAGGAAAGTGAGACATTCTTATCTCCTGCCGGGTGTTTCGACCTAAAAGAGGTTGTATAGGGCCAGGTGCCGTGCCGCGTGTGTCCGCCAAATATTCTCACGCATGACTAATTCGATGACCCTGAAACTTAATACTTACACTCTACACAACATCCCAAATTGCTAAATACAGAAGAAAACCCACAAAATGACTCTTTTTTTTTTAAGTTTCCTATATCATATGACAAGAGATAGGTACCTACTTTTTTTATAGTAACCAGCAAATGATCGTTTGCAGTTCTCACGTGATGGCGACTCATGATTAATAATTACAGACATTATCTTTGTGTACGTGGTTAATGATACATGATACATCCTTCCCTGCCTTCATGGGTCAGCCAAGTCAAAATCTCAACGGTCATTTTAAACTCCTGGTCAGTTTACTGTGTGTGAGGCGGGGGTTGTAGGTGCTGCCTCTATCCCCGGTACGAGAGGCCTTTTAGCTACCTTCTCCAGACTGTTGATATTTGACTGTTTTTAATTTCTCACTTTACTTATGGAGAGACTGAGGTTTTCGTGGGTCCTTCAGGCTGTCTGGTGAGTGTCAGTTTGTTATGTCCACGATCGTGATATCACAGTTGTGTCAGAGTGAGAGCTGGACAGGTTATCTACACTTAGGCGCCAGCTGCCTCCCTCGTCCACAACTTTACTACTTAAGTTAAACACGATAGAGGATATCACCGATAACAAATACAGAGGAATATGATAGCGTTATTTACTGAATATGAGTCACGACAAAGAGAAGAACTGTCACCATGAAAGAATCATCACGTGTTACTCCTAAGAATGATAACGTCATCAGGGGTGTGAGTGACGCTATTGCCTGACTCTTGTGTGATGACTCTTGTGTAATGAGTTATGTATAGTGACTTATGTATAGTGACTTGTGTGATGATTGGTGTGTGATGAATGATGTGTGATGTCTGATGTGTAGTGACTAGTGTGATGACTGATGTGAAGTGACTTGAGTAATGACTGTTGCGTGATGACTCTTGTGTAGTGACTTGTGTGATGACTGTTGTATGATGAATGATGTGTGGTGACTGATGTGTAGTGACTTGTGAGATGACTGTTGTATGGTGACTGATGTATAGTGACTTATGTGATGACTTGTGTGATTACTGATGTGTAGTGACTTGTGTGATGACTGATGTGTAGTGACTTGTGTGATGACTGAGGTGTAGTTACTTGTGTGATGACAGAAGTATGGTGAGTGATAGTGAAAGAAGCTGCTGACTGTACTATCTGATGACTGACGTATGATGACTTATGTGATGACAGAAGTATGGATAAAGTAAAAATTAAAACATAGAATTTATAAAGAAAAACTCACTTTTGTTTGGATGTGTCCCGAAAGCCTTTAGCGAAGGGGTTACTGTCGATTTTTAATCTTGTAATCTGTAAAGTGAAAACTAAAGGAATTCCAATTTTTTTATCAGAATTTTTTACCTTACATTGACATCAGAATTAATCAAGTGGTTTGATGCTTATTTATGATGTCATGTTAGGATGATAATGATAATAAAAATAATCAAAAAAATATTAACAATGATAAAATTTGTAAATAGTAATGATAATGAGTGAAACGTTAAAGACAGAATTGCAACTTTATTTATTTTTATTGATTTTTAATATGTTCGCTAATGATGCGTTTGTTTGAGTACAGAGAACAAATCCAGTGAGGGGAAAGGGAAGCAGGGAAGCAGGGAGGGAGGGAAGCAGGGAAGCAGGGAGGGAGGGAAGCAGGGAGGGAGGGAGGACTGTCAATGTAAAAACTTACTAAAACTGTTTCCAATAACCATAGGAACTTATTATTGGCAACGTCTATCATGCCAAGTCTATTAGTGGTCCACACATCCATAACTTGGAGAGTAATCATGGAAGTGAGGAACTGTAGAGGATCCAGAACTACTACTTTGAAGAGGTGGATGAGAATGAGGGAACTGGAGAAACTGGTCCTAGATTAAACAGAAAAAAAGGGGGAATTTATCCACAGAAGTCTTAGTTTTAAGTCAGTTGTACATACTTGAGCAGGAACTGGGTATTTAGAGGAAAAGACATATTTAACTAGTGATGAGTTCCTTTGATGCGTGAGTGAGGGAGGGGGGGGGGGCATTGTATGTTAACCAAGAGAATAGAAGGGAATTTGTCGCAGCAGGAGGCAGGTGGGTCAGGGAGGGTGATGGTGGCAGAGAAACACTTGTCCATCACCTCACACTTCAGATAACTGATAAACACATTGCCCCCGGGAGAACTACTGACACTCTCCTCTTGTATACTCTGTTGTGCCTGTGTTGGTGTTATTTATTCCACGTTGTCATAATTTACCTGAAAACTTCTCTTTCGATGATCGATTATATGGCAGGGACACTGGTTCTCCCAACAGCTCGGGCGACTTGATGATAGTGTGTAATTAGCCTAACATGAAGAGTGAGGACTGTTCGACTTTATGTAAACACAAACTCGCGAAGTCGAATTGAAATTCAACATGCCCACGTGAGGGACCATCTCTATAGAGGTATATTATTTCTATACAGTATTACTTTCAGATAAAATCTACTTAACCCAAAAGAGATTATCACATTTTTATGACTAAATAACATCGAAGATGGATAAAAATCGAACTAATGGCAATGTACTGTAATATAATGTAGTCACCACTGGAGACTGATTCATGTCATCGTTTTCTTGAACTCGTAAAAAGCTGTGTTGTACTTAAGCGAACCGTCACAGTGGCAACACTTGGTGAATTTTGGCCCAAAATACACCAAAAGCTATCACGTGGACCTTGCACCTGTTGGTCAAATCCACCAAGTTAAGTACAAATCCGCGAACCCCTTCTCGAGTATTTTGAGGGACAGACAGACAGACAGTCAGACAGACAGACAGGACCGAGAACACTGCCCTACCGTGCAATTACTGATAGGGTAATAAGGGTCAAGTCAACTATATCTGGCACAATCTTACACTTACGTTACGAGCCAAGACTCACGATGGCTGGGAAACATGTGATAACTGTGAAAGTTACAGTAAGTGGCCATCACGCACCCACCTGTTGGTTCTGATAGGCGGTGACGGTGATGAAGGTTGTCTCAGGGAAGGACGCATGGTGGGCGTGTCGTGGGTCCGTCAGCCGTGGTAGATCGGCCCAGGATGATCCTACGCTCACCTCCTGCACCCACAACCTCGGTCGGTACTTCTGCATTGAGTGGAGGATAATCTGTCGGAGAGGAAAACCAAGGGTGTAGTCGAGTAGCTGGTGAACTGAATGTTTTAATTATGGTAAAATACACGTCAAGGGAGTCACCTGTGTGTAGAAAGTGAGGTATGTACTGTATGTCACTAATACAGGTGAGGTAAGGCTGAGGTAAATGTTGAGGTCCCAGTAACACATGGCACTGTTGACAATAAGGGACGTGTGTATGGAAGAGAACCCAATGCGAGGTTTATCCACAGCAGAAGCCATCAGGTTTGAGGGCGCTCAGTTTTGGAGTTCCCGATTGGAGTGAAGGATTAGGTTCCTTCCTTAAACATCAGCCCTTGTGCACCCACTATTGAATAAATACACTATCGAGAGAGTTTGTTGATGGTGGAAAAAAACCCTTGAGGAGGACTAACATGCTGGAATAACCCATTTAGTTGTCAAGTATTGTTATGTATCGAGATCAACCCCTGTCTTACCGCTCAAGAAATAACTCGTGTACTTATAAAGAAATGAAGTATTAATATGTTAAAAATTAAATTATAATAAAGGGTGTGGAAAGAGTGGTAGAAAATCTTAAAAAAATAAATAGGTAAATAATCGTCCACAAAAGGTTAAACTTTCATCCTCAACAGATAAAGTCATTGACCTAAAAAACTTAAGCTATTGAGTATTTTTTTGTGTGTGTGGGAAGGGGTGGGGGGTAGATTGGTCCTATTGCTTATTTAAACATTTTGGTCATCCTAACAAACACACCCAGTTACAGATGATGAGTTATACGACAAAATAAATGGCCTCGATTGTGATTCGGCTTTATCATATTTTACGAGGATGCTGCAGTTGGCTCAGGTAGACAAGGCCAGACGTGTTGACAGACCTAAACATACAGGAGTTGTTGGTCTGAGTTCTGTTATCTTTGTTCTACCTCAGTGACATAACTAACCGTGACACCATAACTATTCCTGATGTAGATCACCCAGACATGTGTCACTACCTGATCAACACCTCCGAATAAGTTAGTCAATGTCTTTAAACTTTCTGAGACAGACCACAGGCAGAGGATCACGCTAGTAGTGACCACGCCATATGACCAAGTGATAATTTAATCAGATTTTAGAGTATAAGGTATTTGACAGTGGATTCAAGAGACATGATTGTCTTTTCCGGGCCGCGTGGAGACAACACACTGTATACTAAGCCTTCCGTAAGATAGGATACAGCATGGCCGGCACTGCACTCAACCATCTCCATTTCCTCAACTTGCAAAATTAGGTGGGAGAGCACCCGAAATGGAGCCAGTGACTTAGGAAAGGAGGCGAGCATTGTATTCACTCGGCCGCCGCACTACCATCGGATATTTATAGGTATACTAAATGATCTCTGAACCTAACATTTACAGCTACTTGAACCGACCATCTTAAAATTGAATTAAAAACACTTATCATTGAATGACGACCCCAAATTCCACATGTATCCCCTAAACATCACATTTATGACTGAGTTTACTGATGTTCTGCGACACACTTAAGAGAATTCTCCCCTCCCCGCCTGAGATGACGTGAGTTTCACTGAACACTCTTGTATTAGACTAAAAATCCAGGAATTTCTCTTTTTTTTAGATGAGTCTCTCGTGATTCTCTCGATTTCCGGAGATATAAGACACAGCAGTGATAATTTCTGCTACAATTCATTCAGGAAGGACTGACCAGATGATCACGATCGTCAGCCATCCATAAGGTTAAGCAACTCGTTAGTATCGCTTTTCCCTATCGAGTCGAGGAGGAGTAGCCAGCCTTCACGTCACTCATCCTAACCCTTATCATCTTCAAGGTATCAGATAACTTGTTAAATAGTCAGTATTCAGAGTACGACAAAAACTCCAAGGTTTGTGTGAGTGTTCAGGTGACAAAACATTCTCTTTATCAATCCCAGCCCGGAGAGAGAAAGAGGCCATTGGTTTAGTGTGTGTGTGTGTGTGTGTGTGTGTGTGTGTGTGTGTGTGTGTGTGTGTGTGTGTGTGTGTGGACAACAAATCTAAAAACAAATGTTACCATAATTTTATAGATGAATTGAATAACCCAAAAGGTCGAAGATTAAACTTAAAGATTAAAAGTTTATTACCACAGTGAAGATCCATAGTAGCGTACCATGTTTCCAAACTATTACTTGTAACATTTGTTGTAAGAGTTTTGGTCGGTTACAAGACGGGAGAAGCGTGAAGGCATTATCGAGATGTTTATATAAACTGACAACATGTATTCAGGCCAAAGTTGTTATCTGGTGGGTAGCGTACAGGTATTATCAGGTAAGCAGACTGTCTATCACACACACACCTCATAGGGAGAGACACCTGCCCTTGTTAATTTTAAAGAAGGGCCTCCTCATCTTAATCAAGGAGGGAATCTAGCAGCTCTGTGGACCTTGAGGGGACCAGCAGGCACGACTCCCTCCCCCATGGATGCATCAGACACATCGTGGTTCAGCCTTAACATAATCCATCACAATAACGAGATTTTACAGTTGGATAATTCCTAAAAGAAAAAAAAAATGTCAATTATAGTACAGTCGGCGGGTATGGACAAAGACGTGTTATCTGGCGTTATCTTTAAGTATCTATCTTATCTGTCGTCTTCATCGGCGGCGCCTCTCATCCTAGCTCGTCTGACATCAATGGGGGGTGGTGGGAGGGGGTCCAATAGATAACATGTCAGGTTGGCACTCATCACGCTCACCTACAGATAATGGGCCAACAAAACACGTCACTCCCTCGAGATGTACACAAGACTATCACTAACATCTTCATACCACACATCACATATTGGCCTTGCCTCCCAGAAAGTTAATATATATAAATATAAATATAATATGTTGATAATATACATGAGAGATATGCCAGGGGTCATTGTTGAAGTGGTCGTGCTGTGGGAGCTTGATAAGAGAGCGATAGTTTCAGGAGGTAAAGCGTCTTGCCTACATCATGTCAACACACCTCCACCGTCGCCTACACATAATAATAATAATGGTTGCCCTTCGTGTAAAGAGGATGGCCGGCTCAAGGGCCACCTAGGCGTGAATTTGTTTAAGGTGTAGAAGCTGTCGCCAACAGAACAACCAGAGTATTAAAGGAATGTAAGGATGAGCTTAGTCTGCCCTTAGCAAAGTTGTTTAACATGTCATTAAAAATAGGTGTGGTACCAGAATCCTGGAGGATAGCGAATGTAATACCGATTTTCAAGAAGGGGGATAGATCACTATCCTCTAACTACCGTCCAATCAGTCTAACATCAATAGTAGGTAAATTCCTAGAATCAATTATTTCAAACTGGAGAAGCACAAGTTGATCAATGATTCCCAGCATGGCTTCACAAGCGTGCGTTCTTGTCTAACTAATCTATTAACATTCTTTTCATCAGTTTTCGAATCGGTGGACGAGGAGCACAATTATGATGTGGTATATCTCGACTTTAACAAAGCCTTCGACAGAGTCCCCCACGAAAGACTAATTCGAAAGGTAGAAGCGCATGGCATCAAAGGTAATATCCTTAAATGGATTCGGGCGTGGTTACGAGACAGGAAACAGCGAGTGAGCATAAATGGCACTAAATCGCATTGGAGCAACGTCACTAGTGGAGTTCCCCAAGGCTCAGTACTTGGACCATTATTATTTATTATATACATAAACGACATAGATATCGGCATAGACAGCAACATAAGTAAATTTGCTGATGACACTAAAATGGGACGTGTAATTAAATCTGACGAGGACTCTGCAAAACTACAGGAAGATCTAAAAAAATTTTTCGAATGGTCAGAAAAATGGCAGATGAAATTCAATGTGGACAAATGTAAAGTACTCATTATAGGAGATGCAAACAGGGAAACCAGTTACCAGATGAACAACGATGCCATTGTGGAATCCGACTGCGAGAGAGATTTAGGAGTAATGATAAGTAGGAATCTTAAGCCAAATAAACAATGTGTTTTTGCTCGTAACAAGGCTAATAAAGTACTTGGGTTCATACAAAGGAGTGTTAGTTACAAGACTAGCGAGGTCATCTTAAAATTATATCTAGCGCTTGTGAGACATCACCTGGATTACGCAGTTCAGTTCTGGTCACCGTATTACAGAATGACAAGACTAATCCCGGGCATTAGGAACCTTGAATACAGAGACAGGTTAAAGCATCTTAATTTGCACTCCCTTGAGAGACGTAAACTGAGGGGCGACATGATAGAGGTGTATAAATGGAAGTCAGGGTTAAACAAAGGGGACATTACAAAGGTACTCAAGCTATCCAACCAGGAGCGAACTCGTAACAATGGTTTTAAATTAGACAAATTTAGATTTCAGTGTGAAATAGGTAAACACTGGTTTGGAAACAGAGTAGTGGATGAATGGAATAAGTTACCAAATATCATCCTTAACTCGAATACGCTGGATAACTTCAAACATAGGTTGGGTGCTTATATGAGCAATAGGGGTTGGGTATAAACAGGACTGCCCAGTATGGATCAATAGGCCCGCTGCAGTTTCCTCCATTCTTATGTTCTTATGTTCTAACCACACCCTGAGTTAGCGAGCTGCATGACCCAGTGTCAAGGAATAGTCCGAGAAGACCTGACAACTCACCTATTGCTCTGGCTAACATCCAGGTTCCCAATTACTGCTGGGTAGACAGAGGCAAATGACGTAATGAAACTTGCCCATAGTTTCACCCTGCCCGGGGATTAAGCCCGGGTCTGCTCGATTGCGAGGCGAGCATGCTGACCATTACGCCACAGGTCACCTTCAACCACCTTCTGAACAAGCACATATAATTTTTTTAATGTGTTTCAAGGGTCAGAGAAAAGCCTTGTGATTAGATAATAAACATATACAATATTTATTAGGTTTAGTAATTTTAAAACCTTATACATGTTGATTTATTTTTTCTGTTTAGGAGTTGAGTATAAATAATGGGTGGGAATTATGGTTCGTGTAGCGGTTAACTGAGTGAGGATTTGTGATGATGCTCTCA